GAACTGAGACTAAGCAAACAAAACATAATGGAACAAAGGCTAATGAAACAGAAGCGACAGGCTGAGATGCTAACTGATTACAAGATGGGGGAAAGCTAACAGAACTCAAGCTAACAGAAAACGCTAATGAAACAGAAGCTAGCAAAACTAAATCTAAGGGCATTCAAGCGAATGGAATTGAGGCTAAACAAACACAAGTTAAATGGTTATGATTAAACACATTCAACAGAAAGTGAATTAAAGTTTAAAGAAGCTCTATCAAAAGATGAGGCTAATGGAAGAATAGCTAACGTGTCTTAAGCTAAAGGCACAGAGGTTTATGAAACAAGAGCTGATGGAACTGAAAATCAGACATTAATAAAACAGGCTAACGGAACAAACGTTTATGGAACAAAACCCAACAAAACACAGGCTGATGCAGCCGAAGGTAACTGGATAAAAGCTAACAGCAAATAACAGAACTGAAGCTAAGGGAACAAACGTTAGCAGAAGTGAAAGCTAACAGAGCAGAATGTAACAGATCAGAAGCTAACGGGACAGTAAATACTGGGATTAAAGCCAAATAACTAAATATAAGACGCCAGTTTTCTAAATATTTCTTATTGCCAAAATCCACTTTTGTCAGTGGATAAAACCAATAACACTAATAATACTACAAAAAAAGTGCAACCCACAACATTTGTTTTGTTATTAATTGAGCTGTTTAACGAGCTAGCTAGCTGCAAGCTCGTGTGCTTCGTTGCCTGTGAAGTGAATGAGACTGTGCTGCTGTGAAAATCTGCTCCAGTGTGAATGAACATCAAACCAGAGCGAGTTGAGTCATGAAGAGGAAACTCTTCACCAAAACCACCAGTGTGTTCGCTACCAATCTGTCTGAAACTCCAGGCGATGCAAGAAGGGGATTTTATGAGTCCAGATTTCATCTCATTCAGAGAAAAGCAACCGTCACAAGCAGGAAGCAGAGAAACACCGAAACTGGTTCAGAGAATCTAAAGTCGGCTGTTTGAGGCTCAGCGTTTGTAGTTTTGTGTGAAAAAACTGTGATTAAATCTGGATGTAAACCGTTTACATATTTAAGGTTAGTTATTGTAAATGAGTTCAGACTAACGACACTGTGTTGGGCAGCATTCATCTCGTTATACACATTTTAACGTTATTCTAATTAACATTAAATCAAATGTAACATTTAAACATTTCAGCCGAGTCTGATTGTTTTGTGTGTGTACAAGTAATCAAGTAATATACATGTTTTATATCATTTATCGAATTGTGATTTGCATTTTTTTTTCTTATGTATGTGCATCCACATAAAGACACAAACTGACCATAAAGAGACACAACATTGCAAAAGAAATCCATAAAACAGCCATGAAATAGAAAAAATATCAACAAACAGGTGAAAAATAACCACAAAGAGACACAAAACAACCAAAAATAGACCTAAAGTGATGCCGAAGACACAAAACAAGACAAAAAATCTGACAAAATGCCAGAAAATGTCTGCAAAGGGACTCACAAGAAATCAAAAGATGCATCAAACAATCACATTAAGACACAAAATGGCTGCAAAAAGACACAAATACTCACAAAGATGCACAAAAAAGCCACCAAGAGGTAGAAAACAACCACAAAGAGGCACAAAATGGCGACAAAATGAGAAGAAACGGACACAAAATAACACAAACATCCAAAAAAAAGACACAAACCAACGACTGAGAGACACAAACCGTCCACACACAGTGAGAAGACTGACACACGGTGAAACCACCACCCTGGAGCTGCTCTGCTCGCTTTGTCTCCACGGAGACGCTGCGGTGATGTCGTCTCTCTGTTTGGACTGTGGTCGTGATCGGAGGCTGACCAGCAGGTGAGTCACCTCCTGCAGGTGAGTCACAGTCATGTGACCCGACTGTTGACTCAACGTTTATTAAGGTTTAAGCAGGAACGTGTCTGTGGATCCTCTGACAGCATCACAGCAAACACTGAAGCTTTAGTCTGAAGCAGGGAATGGAAAGCTTTCATGGAGCCGCACCGTCGGATAAACGGACTTAAAACTGTTCTGGAAGACTGAAGACAATCAGATCCTGTTGACTGTTTCTGTTGAGGCCAGGAGTCGACGTTAATCAGCTGATAGTGATGGTGATGATATTACATCAGCTCGACTTTGATCAGTGTGTTTATACTGATTCTGGGTTTTCACTTTGACCACAAAGACACACATAACAACCACAAAGAGACAAAAAACAACCACAAAGAGACACAAAACGACGGGAAAGTTGCACAAAAACACCAAAAGAGATGCAAAACATCAACTAATAGACACAGAACAACCCAAAAGAGACACAAACCAACCACAAATAGACACAAAACAACCACAAAGAGACAAAAAACAACCACAAAGACACAAAAAACAACCACAAAAAGACACAAAACGACCACAAAGACACACAAAACATCCACAAAAAGACAAAAAGCATTCAAAAAGACCCACAACATGTCTACAGAGATGCAAAAAGACAGCAAAACAACTACCAAAAGACACTAAACACCCACAAAATGACATAAAACAACCACAAAGAGAGACAGAGTGACTTTAGAAGACACAAAAGATGCACCAAAAGACACTGAACTACCAACCATAAAAAGACACAAGACCACCACAAAGAGACACAAAATGACACAACACAGTCACACAAAGACATAAAACAAGCACAAAGACACACTAAATATCTACATCATCTAAAAGACAACAGTTAACAGAAACACTTTGAACTGAGCAACTAAAGCAGCTTTAACAGGAAGTTGTGACAGAACCAAATAAAAGCTCAACGAGCGGCTACGACTAAACCCTGGACATGAAGTCAGGTCCAGGACCAGCTGAACTGGACTCACTGCTTCATACTGGTTCTGTTGTCTGAGCAGTAAAATATGTAAACAGCCAGCGTGTGTGTGTGTGTGTGTGTGTGTGTGTGTGTGTGTGTGTGTGTGTGAGTGTGTGTTGACCCAGTTGTTGCAGACTGACATTGGAGTTATCTTTAGGCGCCCAGCGGGAGGATGAGGATGATGCAGCTGCTCTGATTAGCAGCGGTTGCCTAGCAACAGCCTGGACTGTTTACAGCGAGGCGAAGTCGGCGGAGCTTCAGTAGAACCACACGTGAACACAAACTGTTGTTGGGCTGCATCCTGCTGCACAAACACAAACAGCACAAACAAACAGAAACCTCTGAGCTCCCGTCGGCCTCGAACGCAGCGTGACGCCGGGTTTCCTCTGACTGGACGACATCAACACATCAGCCACAC